TGAGTTTTCTGCTGTTGATTTTACTCCAAGACATAGCAAGAAATATGTAAGTTTTATTTTTGAGATATTTCTGTTGATATTTTTGGTGGAACTGGGGATTGAACTCAGGCCCTTGCACTTGTGAGGGAGGCGCTTATTCCACTGAGCCATCTCCCCGGCCCTTTTGAAATATTTCTAAACTGCAATAGTAAACTATAGTGTGCATATGCTTAATTTACTTCTGAAGAGGCAAAGGAGCTGGAATTGGCTTTACAGAAATGCTTTGTTTCAATTTTTTTTAGCAGTCTTTTAGCCCTGTCTAACTGAGCAGAGGTAGGGTTCACTCAAATTCAGTACCTGACCTTTTCTTTGGGGAGGGGTGGGACTGAATGTATTGGAGATGGAGGAAAGCAAGGTAAGAAAACCAGAGCATGAGTGAGTGTGCATGTGATAGAAAATCACCATGACCTCTACCCCTGCCTCTCATGGGACAGGTACTCTATATATTTTTTTCATGACTGCAATATGAATATAGTTTTTCTCTGCTTTGTGTTTTCTAAGCTTAAAGTGATTCATCAAACTATTTTATTCAGGGGCTGGCAAGATTTTCTATGGTTATATTTTCATTTATGCCTGATTCATTGGCTTATATCTAATGGCATTACCTTAAATAGTGTGTTCATTAAAATTCTGAAAAATAGAGTGATTTTAAAAATATGTCATGAGCTTAATTTTTAAATGGACTTTGCTTAATTTGTATTAACCTCTATACTAGTAAATAAATTCTCAGTATCTCTTCTTGTGGGTATAAGAATTTCAGAGCAGGGTTATATATAAAAATAATGGTAACAGAATAGCTTGAGTAGATTTAAATACGTTCTAATAAAATTTGTGAGTTGAACTTTTTTTATATGTGTGTGGAATGGGGGATTGAACTCTTAGGCCCTTGTGCTTGTCAGGCAAGAGCTTATTCTACTAAGCTATCTCCCCGACCCCTGAATACGCTTGAAAGACTAAAATTTAGTGTTAAATCTGAACACATAATTGTTTCTTTTTGACCCTCTAGTAGACATAACCCTAAACAGTTATAATGGTTAGAAGAAGCAGTAAAAAAATGCTCAGAAATCTTCAGTTAAAAAGTTTTTAATGTGATGGTCATGATAGGACTTTGTTTCTGAAATGAAATGATGGTTTTGTTGAACCTAAAATTGTATCATGTTTGAATAAAAGTAAATTGACTTTGCAACTTAACTTAATACTGAGTATTGTCACTCTACTATTTTCTATTTTAATACTTACCTCATTCAATTACTCATGGATTCCATTTTTTTTCATAACTTAGAGTTCTGTAAATCCCTTTGTTTATTATTATAAACCTGAAAAAAAGACATACTGTAACTATGCCACTCAAAGTCATTGGTAATCTTTATTATTATTATTTTAACCATTTATTTATTTATTTATTTATTCATTCATTCATTCATTCATTCATTCATTCATTTGGTACATGGTCTTACTATGCAACTCAGAGTCATAGTGATC